CGGGTCGCCGAGGTGGGGCGCACTCCCTTGCAGAAGCCATCCCGGCCCTCCGCATGCACCACTCGAAACTTAGACGAGGTGGACAAGGACGAGCGTGTCAGACTGTCAGAGTGCCCGCTGGGAGTTTGAGACAGGGGCTGCTGCCTCTCCTGCAGGACATCCTCAGTGACACCCTGCCAAAGAAGCCGGATGACCTTGCGCTAGGAGCTCAACGCTGGGCAGTTGGTGACTTAACCCCATATGCTGTGGGTGCGTTTCCCACCTACAAGCTCCCTCGAGGCGCCGTCGTCGCACCGAGCGGCGTCGTGAGGATGGAGGCTGAAGCTGGGAATGTGGGAGTTTCAGAAGAGAAGGCCCCGTGGTAGAATTGCAAAAAATATTAAAAAAAGGAGGATCCTGTTTGTAAGGACTCGACACACATTGGTTGAATCCTCTTGATAGCGGTGGGTTACGGTTACTCAGCAGAAGACACACCAATGAGCTGTTCCTGCAAGCTGTAGCCCTGTGTCAGCGAAAGCTTGCTTGCTTAAAACCGCGGGATCGAGTTTAGTTTCGCACGGCAGGTGCACCGCTCTCTCGAAAATCTTCTTCCCGAAATGCAACGAGTTCGCAGGTGCCTTGTGCCGACAGTGACAGGGATAGGCATACAAAACACTCAGGAAGCAATAGCCGAGTTGCTTCCAGACAGCATTGGCAAAGTGAGCAGTCAATCCGCAAATCCCATGCCCTGAACCGCTGTCAGGTTTCAAACACGGACCGGTCGCAAACATGGATGTGGGCAAGGACCGACACTGGAACAATCGGGGCACAGATCGCACAGACACATTAACATGCAGTGCGTAAGTGTTCGCATCGCAAGGCGCATGCCTTTCGTGTTCAGTCAGTGTCAGCACAAAACGATTGTCGACCTCGATTATTCCATTCTGTAGAGCTCTGCTTTGGTCTTCGTGCTCTACTTTGCACGGTTCGCCGTAACCTTCGGACTCGAAGGTCTATTGTGAATGATGGCGCATTGCAAACTGACGTCTGCCGACACCGCCGTTCTGCACTAGAGAGATGCAATCGTTCCACGCAGCGATCAGAAATCAGAACAGCAAGACTGAGACCAACAAGACCCGTTGAAGCAACGAAACGACGAAGACGAGCGGGAAAGCCCGAAGGACGGGCAATCCGGGCATTCTTTGCGATTATTTTGATCTTGAACCTAAGTCCTGAGAACAATGACAGTCTATGACGATCGCGATATTGATGAGCCGTGCCCCGACACATGGCAGTGACCTGGCAGTGACCGGACCTTCGTCACCTTTTCTGATGGTGCGAGGCCCTCCAGGAAGGTGGTCATGTACTCTGCTTTCTTCTATTCTATTCTAGTCTTTTGTCTGCTCTTTATCTTTATACTGTCTCACCTCATCTATCTTGTCTTATGTCGTGCTACATTATTTTGTACGTTTTTATGTTATATACATTTTCTATATCACCTACTAAATTCTGTTTTTCCGACAAGAGGGTGATGACACGGGTCCGACCCTCCCCCCCAAACCCCCACACGGTGCAGGCCTCAGCAGGTTCGTCTTCATGGATTCTATGGCTTCGTGGCTTCGACATACCACGGGTAGTTCTCTAAAGTAGGGTCCCCTTTAGGCCCCCAATACAGTACGGCACCCTTATAAAAAGGACCCTAAAAGGGACTCGAATTTAGAAAACTGCCCCCATTTCCTCGAAACAAACGCAGAGGCGTCTTGCCACCACGGTTTACAACTGTCCCTGCTGCTCTGCGACGCATCGTGCTGCTTGCCAGCGCCCTTGGGGAGAAATCACATACGATACGTTGATACGATGGGCTGCTACTTGGAGCAATTGGGCTCCGTCCACGCTTCGCGCAATGTTCTAGGACTGGCCGGGATCCGAACCCAGTGATTCGAGGTAGCCGCACCGGCGTTACAGGGCGATCTGCTTGCATTCTACCATCCATCCTGCCAAGTGGCCAAGTCCAAATCAGGCACATCTTCTTTGTCGTGTCAAGGGCATGCAGACCTTGTGTTGATTCGAGCTGAGCCTGGAAGGATGTTCATGATCCTGGCTCCGGGCTCAGCTCAGCCGGACGCCTCTCTAGACCCAAACACCACAGCTTTACACCGTGGCACAAGCAAGTTTCTGGGTTGCCACGTGGCTGCCTGGCTTGAGGTGCTGCTGCAGCTGGTGCTAGCCGTCGTCACCTCAGCAGAGCATTCTCAGTCGCTTGAGCTCTGCCACAGGAGCCCTTGGTGAGTCGCAGACCTTTCCGTGAAGATTGATCCCTGATGTTTGCAGTGGCCTTCACGCTACACCGAGGTCTGGTCTGACTATGCAATCCAGTCTACGAAGTCTTAGATCTTGCCTGTCGGAGCTTGTTGCGATAGATGCCTACGCTCAAAAGAGTTTAGGGCTTGCGCTTTTATTGAAACAGTGTAACATGCTGCCATGCTACTGAGAGGATCGTTGGATTGTTCACGCCTTGTTCTTGCATGCTACTAGTATGTAGCGAAACGAGAAGATGATTGTAGTGTGGCAAGGTCGCAACGGCCACATAACTACAGGTTTAAGCTGCTCCATACGAGTATCCTATAGTCTCCCGGATCCCCCCTAGGTTCCCTTCATATTGATACTACAACGTCCAAAAGTCCCATTGTTATCATTGGGGCAGCCTTTTTGTGCCTGCTTGAGTGTGACGCAACTATCTCCGACATCGTGGCCCTTTGGGCCGTGTTTCGAGTAGCAGGGATTCACTGTGTTACACAGAGAATCTCTGCCCAAGCCCATTGGCATGTGGATAACTTGGGTTTCGCACTCAAGATTGCCAAAGCAGGTAGCGGTAGCATAATCCGAAGAGTATCATTTTGTATCACCTAGTAGCCCCCCCTCCACCCTCCCAACGTCCCCTCTAGAATGATACTTGCAGCATTAACAAAGCCCTGTTGGCTTTCTGACGCCTTGAGCTTGGAAGGTCCATGAGTTTTGCAAGGCTTTAAATGGTAGGCTCAGGCCTCAGAGGTTTGAGCGGCGGCTGACGCCGGCAAAAAGGCTATTTAACGGTTTAGGGTTTAGGGTTTAGGGTTTAGGAATTATCTTCTTTACGACTGTTCGGTCTAGGATCTAAGGCTACTGCTGCCTTCTGTTCTTCATGTATCTGTTCCCGGGCCTTGCCTGTTTGCAGCCCAGCAGGCCCAATACTAGATGATAGATTTTGAGGAGGCTTATGGATCTCCGATGGATCCTTGAAGCTTTCTAGTTTCACTTAACATGGACGAACGTAGGCGAAGTTGTAGGTAGAACAATCTTCTAACATGCTTGCTATAATTTGGTGCCCTTGGGGCTTGAAGTTTGGAGCTTGTTGGACTTGGATCCTCCGTTGGGTCCGTTTATCAAAATGTAATTTAGGGTTTTTAGGGTTTGGGGTTTAGGGGTTTTTAGGGTTTTTAGGGCTTTTAGGGTTTTTAGGGTTTTTAGGGTTTTTAGGGTTTAGGGGTTTAGGGTTTAGGGTTTAAGACCCCTTCCTGGTATCATAAGCCCAGAGTCGCTTCTTCACAAGCTCACAGAGGCACGGAAACCTGAAGCCCCCAGAAGCAAGCCGGAAGCGCTCCGAGCGCTGAACCCTTGAACCAAACCCCCAACCAAGCCCCAAACCCTAAAACCTAAAGCCTAAAGCCTTAACCCTAAACCCTAAACCCTAAAGCCTTCGCCCTAAAGCCTAAAGCCTAAAGCCCAAAGCCCAAACCCTTAAACCCTAGAAGCGCTAAAGAGATGCGACCTTTGCAGGAACTCTTGGGCATTCCGGCCGTTCTACACCACTGGTAGCTGCCTCGTGCTTGCGAGTCTGTGAGTTTGCTCTGCATGGCGTGTGGCTTCCGGAATTCTTGCACATGACAGTGCTCACATCCTAAACCCTCAACCCTGCACCCTAAACCCTCAACCCTCAACACTAAACCCTAAACCCTCAACCCTGGACCCTAAACCCCAAACCCTCAACCCTTACCTTCAGAACTGGACGCGGAGCGGAGGTTCGAAGAGCGCTTGCAGAAGATTCGCAACGACAGGGGCGAAGACAGCTTGCACCTCAGGTTCAGGGTTCAGGGTTTCCGGGTTCAGAGTTTAGTGTTCAGGGTTTTTGGTTCTGGGTTTAGGGTTCAGGCTTTCGGGCTTGGGCTTTCGGGTTTAGGGTTCAGAGTTTAGGGTTTAGGGTTCGGGGTGCGGTGTCTCCTTTCTCTGAAAGGGCCGAGATGCTGACTGAGGCGAGCAAGTCCCCTTCAGCTACCTGAAGCAGGCGGTTTAGGGTTTAGGGTTTAGGGTGTAGGGTTTTAGGGTTTTAGGGTTTTAGGTTTGTTTTAGGGTTTAGGGTTTATTTCGGTTGGTTGTAAGAAGTAGAGGCAGCCCTGCTTTCATTCGAGCAGGCGCATCTTGCCTACTTGCCGGAGAGACCCGTCAAGATTGCTTGCATCCAAGTTATTTGCATGGCGCCTTGTAAAGCCATAAGCAGTCGTGGTCCAGAATGTGATGCATCCCAAGGTGGAGTTCTGCTGTGAGTTGCCTTCCATACCTCGCTCGGCTGACAGTGTCATCACATCCCTCCAGGCCGTAACTGGTTGATTGAATCTATGATGATATAGTCCGCTAGAAAAGAACGCCGTGAACATAATGGTATATGATAAAAGGACAGCGAGAAGGAGCCACCGAAGACTTTTTGATGCTTTTCTGTTCTGTGTCACCGGTACTGACAGGGGCGGCTGCTGGGTGGGTGCGACACTGCCATTGCCATACAGCCGCCACCTCCGGCTGGCACCACGCGGACCGGGGATGAAATGCAAGATTCGGGTTCAGGGTTTGGGGTTTGTAGGGTTCAGGGTTTAGGGGTGAAGGGTTTAGGGTTTCGGGATAAGGTTCAGGGTTTAGGGTGTCCGTCGCCCAAAGTCGTAGATCTCCCGCCCCCTCGGTTTGATGCGAGGACCGGCTTGAGCTCTCTCCAGTACTTCGGAGCAAAGTGGGACCTCCAGGAGTACTATGACGAGGTCGGTCAAGGTTGCATCTGCAAGCCTGCCAGCATGCATGGCCATTCGCGTGTAGGAAGGCGACCCGGATAACTTCAAGACGTGCCCCTCTTGAAGCACTTCGTGTCAGTTCATTCTGTATCGGCTCAGATATTATGAATGTGCAAACGAACACCACTTAGCTTGTCGTTTGTAAACTGTTCAGTGCCTTGACCGAGTATATAGTTCCACATAGTTAAGCAAGGCACCAAATAAGGTGTGGAACAAGCTGTGGCTAGTCGCCTTTGCTGCAGGTACTGTAAGCACCTGAACGTATTGTACAGGAGCTACGATTCTTGGCTGCAGCAAGCTTGCTTCACAGACTTTAATCGGCATGCCTGGTTCGCTCCTGTACCTCACTGGTGCAATAGGCTTGCAACGGACGCTTGACAGGCAATGTTTGCGATTGCTTCGTTGTTTACCCTGCGCACCCGTAAGCCCTCAGGACACAATTCAGGACTTTGACTACGAGTCTTTTGGTGGTGGCCTCTCTGTTGCGTGTGTTGCGTCTAGAGACCGATGCAACCACGCGCTTGAGGCTTGACCAGAGAAGAAAACGCCTCCCTGGACCACCGATGCCGGCTTATGTGTGAGGTGCAGGCTTTGTTCGGGAAAGCGCCTGCTTTGGAAGAACCCGCCTCGGAGGTGCACAAGCTGGCACTGCAGACGGTCGATGGCAAGGCTCTTTGGGCCATGCCGTTGTCAATATCATTCTTCAGAAGCCTGGAATTCCTCCTGGCCCTAGTCATCTCCCGCTGTAAGAACGAGAACTCGAAAGAAACGACTTGGAGTCGCAGCAAGCTTGTGCATGACAGAGAGCTGATATTGCAGGTTCCACCGTCGGAAAAGGGCAGGCCCTGGGGCATCTTCGCCGGCCTGTCAGGACGGGGAGCCTTCAGCCGAAAGTGCAGTCCAAGGGCTCGACTGCGCGAAGAGCTTGCCTACTTCTTCCCATTGCCTTGTGGTTTGGGGTTTGGGGTTTAGGGTTTGTCCTTCTTCCCACACCCAGAGACGCAAGAGGCTGTAAAGAAGTGATGAGGCCAGCAGCAAGATTGGCACTACATGACTGGCGAAGCGAAGATCAACAAGCCTCTTCCCCAGTCTGGAGCAGGTGGAACGCACGGAGCGAACTTTCAGTCGTTTCCACCTTGCGTCTTGTAGCGGGCGCCCAGGCACACCTGGGCGAATTCGTCCACTGCAGCCCTCGTGAGCAGGCACGTTGTGAGCCGAGTGCTCTCGCAGCCGACAAAGCTATAAGTGCAAAGGGTCGGTTTATCTCGCACCGTTTGGTTCAAATGCTCATCGATGCGCGTCCACGCTCGGGAATCGCGCTTAAACCGTCACTACAAGGCCTAATTTAAATTAGCACTTCTATTTGTAGCTGAAGTAGCCGCCGTAGTAGTAGTTGGTTACTACTGTTTGGATTCCTGCTGCTGCTGCTGCTGCTACTACTATTACTACTACTACTACTACTACTACTACTACTAGTACTACTCCTGCTGCTGCTGCTGCTACTACTACTACTACTACGACTACTACTACTACTACTACTACTC